CACTGGAACCCTGACATATAGACAATGTTTGGCGTTGTTGGTCGTGGAAACTCGAAGGTGAAGTCGTTTCTCATTAGCCAGACGTCAGCTGCTTGAAACAGCTCCATGTAATTTACGTCTTTGCCAAAGTAACGATGAGCAAATGGTTTGTAGTTTGGTTCTATAATGTACCAAAATTGAATACATGTTATGACATATATGAGAAAGTTCTTGACCCTCTGTTTAAATGTCATTTTATCAGTCAACTCTGATCCTGGTATGGGAATATATGAGAGTGGGGAGGGGGCAATTACGTTATGCCCTTCACTCTGAATTGCCCATCTGACATTAAAGACAAGTGGAAGACCCAATCTGTGACCCAGAAAGACACCGCCACCAAAAGCAGGATCAGTAAGAACCAGAGCAAATTCGGCTTCAGACAGTTTCTGCATGTTTGTTTTATCTTAAAAAATTTCTTCTGTCATCTGTAGAACCTGCTCATGCATGAAATACCATTGTGTCAATAGGTTGCGGACTAAAGAAATGAAAGTCCAAAATGAAGTTCCTTCGTGCCCCATCTTCAGTAATCTTGTCACAAATGACCCAAAGTTTTGCTCACTGAAACCAGTTGATGAGTTAACGGAGATTGTCTTGAAGTGAGAGGAATCTGGTTTAATATGCCAAGAGTCTAAAGGGCGGAGCACAGTGACTTCATGGCCTCTGATATGAAGCTCTTTAATGATGATGTTCATGTTGACCCAGTGGCTTCCATCCACAGGGAACACCAAAACTTTTCCTCCACTTACAGGGGATGATGAACAGAGCAACACAGCCAGTGTCAGCAGGGGGCTAAATTATAGTCACATATTAAAAAAAAGATATTGATATTCGACTGTGGAAAATATATATTTTTCATTATTTTTTATTACATTTTTTTATTATTTTGGCCGCAAAATTAGTCAAAAACTTGCACTGATGTGTTTTTTGTAATGGAAAGAAGGGCACTTTAGATCCCTCTTCCTGCCACCTGCTTTTCAGAAGGCAGCTGTCTCACTTATTCACACCCTACAGCTCTGGCTGATGTGACCCTAAGCACACAACAGACATCATACTACCTGCAGCTCATGTCACCCACAGAGACCAGTTATTCCCAGACTGGCCAGCAGCCCAGAGATTTCCAAGCTTTGGCTAGGTTATAAGTTAATAATCAAAAAGGGTTCCTATCAGTGGTGGCTGTACAATAGAAGGTGCAAGGGTGCCGCCCCACTCACCTAATGACTTTGATTAAGACAGAAAAAAAAAATTAAATTATAAAATTAAACATTTCAATATATATTAATATATATATATATAGACGTGCAAGATAAATATTAAATATATTATCTTTATTGGGGAGTAAAGCTGTTTCTGTCATGTTGGGGTCTAATCGTCTAACCCACATGCAAAAACACTCGGCAGGCTGAGGGCAGAGGCAGAGACGGAGGCTGAGGCGGAGGGCAGACAGGAAGGTTCCAGGCAGCGATAGTTCTCTCCAGGATTTGACTGATTACCAGATAGTCAGGATCTGAGAGGCAGAAGAACACAGGGTCAGACAAGGTCTCAAAAAATTCAGAGAAACAGATCAGAGTTAGCTGGCGCAGGTTTGCTGGTACCATTACTGGCAAACACTCTGGCAGGGAAGTGTCAGCCTCCTCCTCCTTAAGAAAGCCTCCAGATGAGCATATGGGAAACAGGTGTGCAGAAGTCAGCTCATGCCCTAAGGAGGAGGATCTCAGGCTCCCTCTGGTGGAGAAAGGTAGACAAGCCTCCAGATCCCAACAGTTTTGATGATCTTTCACATTGGTGACGTATTTCTACCCCAGGTCCAAAAAATCTTTGCCCATAGCCTCTGGTTAAAAATTGTTAATGCGCAGTAGCTCCTCTTCAGTGCAAAAAGATAGGACCATCGTTGGCTGTAGCTCTAGGACACAGACAGCGGAAAGCAACTTTATTTGCATGCCACCACCCGTCACAGCACTGACGTCACATTCGTCTGTTATAAAGTTCGGCTGATTTACAGGTTTATATAATTATTTAGCAACAAGGCTTGGCTAACTGCATGCAGCAAGGCTAATGCTGTGTTCTGCCTCTTTTTTCAAACATCAGGATCATACAGTGGGGACTGGTTGGAAATGGACGGTTTCCTGCGTGATTCCCACGTGAATCACGTTGTATTTCCTGAGGCCAGTTTTTTTATTTCAAAAAGAACTGCAATGTACCCGGACAACCACCAGGTGGCGCTTGGGACCTCTGCCGTGCTGAGGGTGACGTTTGTGGGCCTGCAGTCAACTGAAAAGCATGTTTATTGGGGATCTTGGTGTGATACTGTGCTATTTTGTTTTGTTTTTGATTAAAATAAAGTTAATGAATTAATTTAACATAAGATTATGCAGTCAAGTGACTGCATAATCTTAT